CAGCTGCTTCCAAAGCATGAAGCAGTAAATAATAATAATAATAATAATAATAATAATTATTATTATTATTATTATTGTTATTATTATTATTATTATTATTTCCAAGTTTCCCAAATGTGGGATAATCACAACACTGAAACGGTTGTAGAAAACAATGAGGTTCAGATGTTACGGGATTTTCACAAACAAAATAAATGCTGTCTAAAATGCAACACACCAAATGTAACAATGATGGAAAAGAAAATAGGAACTTTTGTAAATGCAGCAATAACCAGGGATGGCTGGACTTGTGACACTACTTTGGCCCTATCAACTGCGGATTTACAAAAAAACACCTTGCTGGGCCTACATTACATTTTGTGGCATTCCTCGGATAATTCCCCAATCCTTGGACGGGAATTGCCAAAGAACGCCAGTCAAAGATGTTAATTCTTTTCGCTTGTTCTTTGTCCTGTGTTACTCTTGGATGAATACAGTCCCAGCAACTTGCGTTCCCTTTTCCCGTTCTGTGTTTTTCTGTCTCCTCCTTCCACCTGTGTTCTCACCCAGGAATTGACTCACCTGCGGGGGGGGGGTGTTTTGAGGACCCTACCCACAAAACCTATTTTCTCTTTCCTTTCTCTCATGGTCTCCAACCCTGCCTATCTGCCCCCACTTGGGGCCTGTGGCTTAAGCCGAGAACCAGGTCCAGGTTGTCAGGAAAACACCCTACGTCCCAGGCCGCGCACCCCGATCTGATCCAGACGCACCAAAAGGGATGTCCAAATGTCCTGCTCGTAGATTTACCTCCTGCTGGAAGGCTGGCTGAAACCTCCTCCCCTCCGCTTACCCCATCCACCCCTTTCTTCTGCTAAGGTGACTCTGTAAGGCTGAACAAGGGAGGCCAGGATAAAACAGAGCGGGGTCCGTTCTTGGTTTCTTATTACATCTCTCTCTCTCTCTTTCTGAGAGAGGCTGGACAAGAAAGCCCCCCTACAGGAAATCCCAGGGTTGTCAAGAAGGCACTGGCAAAGCGCTTCTGTATTGCTGCCTGTCCGTTAAACCACCAGGAGCCAAGCCCTACTTTCAAGGACAGGCCGAGGGAAGGGTTAAGACAACTAAGATCCTTTCGCGCTCCAGCCTCAACGGCCAGCAATCTGGCGCCAGGGCCCGGCTGGGATCCGGTTCCAACTTCCAACCCGCATTAAGGCCGGTTTTGGAATCCTGGATCGGGTGGCTGCCCCGCCAGGTCCCTCCTGGGCTTTCCAAAATCTCCGAACCGGGAAAGAAGAGACCTCGAGTCCGCTCCTCTGAAAAGAAGGAGCAGGAAGGGCGGGAAGAGGAGAAGCAAATTTTTGCCACACAGCTTTGGGAAGGCGTTTGGGGCCCACCGTTCGCTGGATGCGATGGCTCGCCTGAACTGTTGAGGCGCTTAACGTGTTTTTTAAACCGCCACGGGCCCGACATGGACACAAGGGCTTGGCGTGTCGCTTCCAGGCTCCGTTTAACCACCCTCTACAACTTGCAGAGAGCGGGTTCCTGAACAATGAAGGGCAGGGGTAGGCATGCAGGGAGGGAAGAATACGTGGGGGTCAGCCTTGTTTCAAAGTGCCTTTCTCCTGGTACAGGTTGACCTAGCTGCCTTCCCCCCCCCAAATAAAGACATATCAGTTTACTGTTTGAACAAGGATGATTCACCTGCATGAGGACAAAATCAAGGGGAAAAAAAGGCTGAAGGCTTCCTGCATTTGGTTAACTCCTTGCCTTCTTTTCGTTACGGGGTGGCTACAAGCCAGTGAGGCAAAAGGTTTGACTTCCAGCCTCCGACTGAACCCCAGATCCCAAGAGGACCCACGGACTGACTTAATAGGATGCACAGCCAAAGGACGTATAGGGTGTCTGCAGGGGGGGTCCAAAAAGTCAAAACAGCTGCCCTGATGGGGCATTCAAAGCTCTGCCTGTTTCTTTATGCGTGCCCCACATGCCACGCACACCAAAAGCGGATAGAGCTTTGATTGCACCGTTGTGGCTGCCATCTTGACTTTCTGGACACCCTTGGGACTCTAAATCCACCAAGGCGAGTTTTTCCCCCCAGCTCGGGGCAGGGCAGATCCCAAGGTTGGGGATCACCCGTTAGCACAAGCATCTTTCCTCTCTCTCCTCATTAAAACAGCGCAGAGTTTCTCAAGCTGCTTTAAGAGCCGCTCACCTAAGAAGGAAAGAGGTGTTTGGGTGCAGGCCACGTGTTTTCAGCCCGCGGGTCAAAGGACTGACAAAAGGGGGTTCCTGTGGCCACCCCCCATCTGTTGAAGCTTTAAAGTGGAGCTTCACCGCTTCTAAGCCATTTTTAACCTACCCAAGCCCAAAATGGAAGGGAGATTTGGCAAAGGCCTGGACAAAGAGAAAGGGAAGTGAAAAAGTTTTGCTCCACAGAAAGAAAAGAAAAGAAAAGAAAAGAAAAGAAAAGAAAAGAAAAGAAAAGAAAAGAAAGGGGAGCCACTTTCTTCCTGGTCTATTCGGTGGGTGCGGCCCATCCTTTTTTTTTTTTTGGAGGAAATACAAAACACTGGATCAGACAGGACTGATCAAGCACGGATTGCTTGCCCCGAAAGCCATGAGCAAAAGAGATCATTTGACTATCGCAGGTTGAAATCAGCCCTCCTGTCCCCTGCTTGGATTTTCATTGCAAATCACAGGGCCGCTACTCCCTCCTTTCGAAACGGACCTTTGGTTTCGTCCTTTTTTTAAGGAGGAGGCCACAGCGTGGGAAAAAGGAGCTAAGGAGTGATGGGGGGTTTTTAACAGAGGCCTAATGGGCGGAGGGATAAGCAATGGGTAACAGCGACTTCACCAATATTCTTCTTTTTAGGGGACTGTGTGTGTAAGGGGGGGATCGGGGTGCTGGTTTTTATCTGTAAGCCCGATTCAGAGACTAGAAAGGGCCACACTTCACAGGGAGGGCTAAAGTTTGCAAAGATGATGCAGCCACTTCACGTACGGCGCAGGGCTGGATCTTTTAAGGGAATTTGGGGCGTTTGGCTTTGAACAGGGAGGAGGTGCTTTTTAAAGCTTTTCCTGTGCTTTTTGCCATTTTTTTCACCTCCGTGCAGAGAGAAGGTGCTAACAGTTTCCGGCAACAGGGCTCAGAGGGGGCTCGAAGGGCCCCAGGGCAAGGGGAAGGGACCTTTGAACTGGCAAGACACTGCACCCCTGATTTTTAACAGGATGGTGACAGGGGTCTGGTTTCCACCAAGGTCACCTTGGAGCAAGGGAGAGGCAGGGTCATTGGGCAGTGCCCCGCCGCAGCGTGCCGCCCATGGCTGTCGCAGGAGCGGGCGTTTCAAGTAAAGGGGAAAATCAGACGCCAAACAGACTCTGGAGCAATGCAGGAAGTCCATCCTCCTCCACTTCCAATCTCCGTGACGGTATTTGCCTCTAGCCTGCCCCATGGCCTCGGAAGGGGGAAGACACCTCTGACCTCTTGCGCAATCGCCCCAAGAGCCAGAAAATTGGGCAACAAAATTCAGAGAAAGGCCAGCAGCTTCTGCGGGGCATCGGCACACCGTTTGGGGGATGGGAAGAAAGGGAAGACATGACACGCCGGTCCTTGCACAAACAAAAGATTTTGAAGCTGGTGTCAAAATATATTGTTCTTTCCTACAACAAAGGCCTCCTTGATCCTCAGGTGGGGCCTGTGGCTGTCTAAACCAAGGAAGTCCAGCATCTAAAATGACCTTGCCATACCTCATTTTGGAATAAAAAAAATTTCCAAGGGGAGTTAGGTATTACAAGATGGGGGGAAAGGCCCAGTGATGTCCCCCTACGGCCAATAACGTCCCATCATCTGCACGTCTGTCATTGGCTAAACAACGTCCTTCTTCCCTGTATCGTTAGGTGATTTTAAGAAATAGCTTAGGTAATTGGAAAAAATAGATTTAAAAAAAGGAGAGAGAGAGAAAACTCCAGCCTTTCCTCTTCCTCTTTCCAAGGCTGTGGGGCAGACAAAAGGCAAATACCGTAGAGATGATTGCAAGTAAAGGAGGATCAACTTCCTGCATTTCTCCAGAGTTTGACTGATCCACCTTGACTTTAGGAAAAGCTTCAATCTCAAATTCCTGTAAGTTGAACTAGTAACAAACATAATAATTGGTGCCATGCCTAAAGATCTGGAAAAGGAATTGGACACTAGGAACGGACAGAACTTCAGCTCATCAACTGCCAAAAAAAATCGCCTTACTTGGAACAACGTACGTGTTACAACGATATCTTTAATGATCCTAAATCCTTGGGAAGGATCCAGAGTCAAAAGTACCAAATCCAGCCAGCGCTATCTTGTAGACGGTTTGTAAATAGTCGTAATAATTTAAGAGCTTAGAAGTGCTCTCTAAATTTCCAAGTCTGTGTTGTTCTGTGCTGAGTTTTTTTTAATGGTAATAATAATCATGATCTTCTTGCTCTGCTCTTGACTGCACAGACGTTGGATCTGGCACCATCTGGCAATGGCTGAGTCCAGCTTGTGTAAACTCACAGTTCCCTAACAGAGTAATTGAGTAACCAACCTCTCCCTTTCCAGGAAAGTCTCCAGAAGTTATCTTGAGGGGCTAAAGGAGCAACGGACAGAATTCAGATCCGACTCGCGAATGTGTTGCTTTCCCAAGGCGTGTCTGCGTGTTTGTAGGCCTCGGAGGTGGCGTCATGAGGAGGATCTGGGAGACCTGCCAAGCGGCGAGATAAGCGAGAGATCGGAAGGCGTGCGTGTTTCTGACTTATAAATTGCAATGGCATATTTCGCAGAGTTCAAAAAACACCAACCTGAGCTAACCAGAGGTGCGCTCTGGCCGCCAAAAAAGCGTCTGAAAGCCCAGCCCAGCAGGTGAAGATGGTAAATCCTCGGCCAGGAGTCCAGCCGGACTCGATCCTTCCTAAAAGTTAGAAGTTAGTCTTCTAAAACTAACACCGAAGCGGCGTAAGATCTGCAGCTCACGAAAGCTGATGCCTTTTAACAAAAGGTGTTAGTTGGAAAAGGAGCCACCAGATTTCTCCTGTTGTTTTTTCCCCCACAGACAAACACGGCTCTCCTCCTACGATAACCCACCGAGTAGGCAGATTTGCAGCCACAGGGCCAACATTTCAAGGGGCTACGTTGCTCCTCCTCAGTTTGGCCCTGCAGTGCACAGAAGAATCAGTTCACTGGAAGGTGCAAGAGCATTTGCAAGCCAGCATGCCTCGCCTGCGTACAGGCCTTGCGTCTGCAAGGAGCACAGGAGCAGGGCTGGTCCAGACATACGGCTCAGATGTTAACGGGAGGCCAAATCCAATTTGCTCCGAGAGGAAGATGCGTGTACCTGATCAGTATTCCTCCAGGCATTGTGCAGCGTGTAGGAAGGTGAACGCTTTAATTAAAGGGGATCCGGTTTTGCTTCATTCCCACCCCCACCCCAAAAGCGATAAGACAGCCTCACTGGGTCAGGTTAATGACTTGAACAGCTCGTCCCCAAAAGAAGGAAATTTATATTTGAAAAGAAAACAGGCTTTGAAGCATGCTATAAATTGTCAAATCTAATGAGGCTGTAGGTCAAATGAGTTTTCTTTTGTTTCTCGTGGGTCGGTGCCAGATTTCGAAGACTTCCATGCCAGCTAGACCCCGGATGGTGATTTTTTTTTTCCATCCTCCCACCTCTGGTTTAAAAAAAGGGAGCCTATCCTGTCCCTGTAGGGAGCTCTTGAGCTCCCTGGCTGGGGATACCATGAAATGGCCCTTCAGCAGTGCTGAATTTAAAAATGCTGATTGGACCTCATACCACAAAGTTATCTGGAGGGCTTCGGGTAGACCAGGAGTGGTATATTCTCTGGGGAGTCGTGGGATTTTCAAGGGTAGCATAAACTACTGGGGAAACCAGGATTTCTTCTCCCATCCGCGCAGCCTAGATAAATCTGGAAAATGCATCTTATTTTGGCATCCCTTGTCCTTCTCACATTAAAAATACCCTTTCTGGGCAAGGACTTTTTAGAGCTGGTGGGGAGATGAGCACAAGAGATGGAGGAGGAAGGGAGCATGGGAGCTGTTCCCCCCTTCCAATATGGGACGGGTCACTTGTAAAAGTGTGTTAAAGGTACTTTTTTCCTTTCGGCCTACACTTTTGAGGACGGGGCCAAAAATGAGAATCGGACGTTTTGCAACCCTTGGTTGGAAGCTGCCAGGATAATTTTGAACAAATCTTGTGGGAAGGCCAATTCTATATTCCACAACCCAGGTCATCTCCCAGCTCGGTGGACTCCAACTCCCAGCGTCCTCAGCATCAACGAAGCAGATCGGGGGACTCTGGGAGTTGAAGTCCACACATCTGAAGGGGGCCCAGGTTGCAGAATGCGTTGGTAAGTTCAACCACGGTGGGAATCTTAGAAGGTGGGTGGAGACCCGCAATTCAGCACGGCCAACTTTGCTGATTTCCTTCGGATTCAGAATCATGCCCCTTTGGGGAGCACCGCTTTCCCCTTTCCAAAAACACCAGGTCCGGCTCAGGGAGAGAGAGAATGACGCATAGCATACGGCAGCGGTCTCCTTACCTGTTGGAAGGGAACCCTACAAGGTGGCATTGCGGCCGACTCCTGTTACGGCCAGGCGGGCATTGAGGGGCACCCGCAGCCTGAGAATCAAATGACACGGATTGATATTGGGGCTGTGGGAGGAGGAAATGGGCAAATCCCTTCTGCTGATGGGAAGGGAGGGACTTCCAGGTGAAAAGCGGAGAGGGTCAACATGGCCTCCACACCTGGCAGGAGCCGGAGACAGGTGTTGGGTTTCAAACCGACACTGTCTGGGAGCCGCGACGCGCTTGCTTCTCATTGGCTGCTCAGGCAGTGGGGGGGAGGGTGTTGCACACACACAGACGCGCACACCGAGGGTGCCCAGCAGGTGTTGAACCAGCCGGATGCAAAGCGGGTTTTGTTAACCCCCTGAAGCGCCGGGGACCTGCGAGGCTTTACTCTCGATAAGCGGCTTATCAGAGCCAGACAATAGGAAAAGCAACTCGGCTTAGATGTCAGCAGCCACCTGATGCAGTGTTTCTCAACCTTGGCCACGTTAAGATGGGTGGACTTCAACTCCCAGAATTCCCCAG